TTCCAACTATCCTAACATATATCATTAAATATTCATCTACATTTATATTTAATTGTGATTTTGGTTAAAAATATAAGATTCTTACAATCAAACGATTCATTACGATTTACAATTTGTAAATTCAGCGAAACAAATTTTATTCGATTTGATATTAACAACCATGATTACTAGTCAACGGTTTTTATTCGATTTGGTAACCATGATTATTTGTCTTTCTTTGGGCGGATTAATATTCACACAAATTTACATACACAAACATATCAACATTGATCAATAACTTATTATCTACATAAGAAATCGAGGTTTCACTTTGGTGATATATATGTTACTTTATTTGGTCTATCCAAAATAGAGACGACTTTTCTAATAGACCTTCGTACCATGTTATGTACCGGTGAATGTATAGTTTATTATTGATTAAATAAACAAAAAAAAAAAAAAAAAAGGGAACCCTACTCTATAAACAAGCACAGTATAATATCGATAAATTAATACATGATAATTAATAGTCTCGCTTAAGTAATATTTTTCTCAGTCTCGACTCGGGGACAACGTTCTAAATTAATAATTCGCTGAATTTATAAGATAATACACATTCGAAAATTTTAAGAAGCCCCATATAACATATAAATTAATAATGCATAAAAATAATTCTTAAATTATATAGTGCAATACATATTTTATAGATCTATTAAGGCTTAATAAAATATGATTTAATTGTCGATTGTTTCTTGTTGAAGTTCATATCACCATCAATCTCGTTCCTCACTTTTCTTAATATTGTTAGAACTTTTGGTATAATTTTCTCGGTATAATTTTCTCATAACTCAACAGAAAATTGTTCAATACCATTGTTGCTTTAAGAGCTTCCGTTCGAGAAACAGACTTTATAGTATATTGAACAAATGGTACAAGGAATAATATATATGTAATTTAAAAAAAAATATGAATTTATTAAAAATAATAATGAAAAAAATTTCATAGATTAATAAGTTATTAATTAATGTATAAATTAATAATTATTAATTTATCAATAACTTAATATTTTGTGTGCTTAATGATTTTGGTAGTCCCGATTCTATTAATTTATACAGGTTTAGCTGTAGTTATAGTTTGATTATAAAACATGTTACAACGCTAAGTCACGGGAATTTGATTTTACAGTTGTTTTGGTCTTTGGTCAAATGAAATTTCATGATGTATTTGACCTCATTGAAAATTAAAGGGTAAATAGCACTTAACCTCCCTTGTGGTTTGAACATTTTGCACATGACCCCCCTTATGGTATGAATTTAGGCACATAATTCCCTTGTGGTTTTGATATTTTGCACATCACCCCCTTATGGTATGAAATCAGGCACATAACCCCCTTGTGGTTTTGAATTTTGCACATAACCCCCTTATGGTATAAAATTAGCACATAACCCCCTTGAATAGAAAACTGAAAAAGACTAAATTAACCCTATCAAGTCAAAAATTCTTGTTTCAATTTAAGTTAGTCTATAAAATGAAAAGCTTAATGTATGTTTTTGTAAAATGAGAAATATAATATATTATTGTGTTTTTTTTAATTTTACAGCACAAAAGGTATAAAATACTAATTATTGTACGATTGATAATTTATTCGATTTTAAAAATTAATTTGAAAATCTTTAACATTATCATTAATTGTGATTATTATATTACTATTTTCTATATAAATATATTATATTATAGTTGTTATCGAACTTTAATTTTTTTAAGAAACAAAGTTTTTTTTTATTCTTTTGGAAAAATCTAAAAAAAACATTTCTTTAAAGTTGAAAAAAAAAATTAAATTTAAAAAAAATATATATATGTGCGTAAAATAGAAAAAAACACAATAATATATTATATTTCTCATTTTATAACAAAAAAGTACCTTAAGATTTTCATTTTATAGAATTAATTATTTTTAAATTAAAACAAAAACTTGTGACTTGATAGGGGCAATTTAGTCTTTTCCAGTTTTCTATTCAAGGGGTTATGTGCTATTTCATACTATAAGGGGGTCATGTGCAAAATTTCAAAACCACAAGGGGGTTATGTGCCTAATTTCATACCATAAGGGGGTTATGTGCAAAATGTCAAAACCTCAAGGGGGTTATGTGCCTAAATTCATACCATAAGGGGGTCATGTGCAAAATGTCCAAACCACAAGGGGGTTAAGTGCTATTTACCCAAAATTAAATTTTAATTTAGATTCTGACCCTTCTTAAACCCTCCTGGTTGTGTTGCATTGCCACGTTGTTTGGATTCAACGTTTACAAATTAGAATAACAAACAAAACTTAATTTCCTTATAATCCAATACCGGTCCTCAAATTGCAGTCAAGTCCAAAAAAAAATTAAAAAAATGCAATAATACCCTAATCAATGAATTAAACAATCGTGCTTAATTAGTGGTTGCCACATCTCTGTTCGTGGCAACAAGAAAAGCCTCTAATCACATACAATAGTATTTAAAACAAAATTCCCATCTTGATTTTATCTAATTTAAGAATAAATTATATAAAAATAATTATCCTTAAAATTTAATCTTATATATCAAGAATAATTCAATTAATTTTAATTAGGCAGCGACTATATGCAAGACGAAAATTACTTAGTGCAAGACCAAATTAATTTTTTTTATTAAATTCAGTATAAAAAGACTATAATAACCTTAATAAAATACAAACAAAATAAAAATTATTTTATTAATTTCCTTTTGCAAGACCAGTTTAAAAAAGAAAAATTAATAAAAAAAGAAAGAAAAAAGAAATTGAATTGAGAATTGAAAAACGAGGAGGGAAGAAGGGAAGAAGAAAACAAGAAAATCAATTGCAGCACTCAACCGTCGCCCCATCGCTCCGTCGCCGTCGCCGTCGCCGTTGAAGTCCACCACCTCCCCGTCGCCGTTGAAGTCCGTTGTTGCCCCAACCCCGCCACAATAATCTCACGAAAAACAAGGAAATTACTTTTTGAATTAATTTTTTTTTGAGAAATAAATGTGATAAACATGATTTTATTGTTAGAATAATGAATTCAAGTCATTTTAGAACATAATTAATGATTCTAGGGTTCGATTGTAGCACTATTGTTGAAGGAGTTGCGGTTTTACAAAAAACGACCTGTACTTGTCGATTTTTTGAAAATTTTTCGACATACTGGTGTCGATTTTTGAAAATTCGACACACCAGCGTCGAAAATTTCAATATAATTCGACACCAGAATGTCGAAATTTTCAATATAATTCGACACCAGAATGTCGAAAATTTCAATATAATTCGACAGTTAAGGAGTGTCGAATTATGTTGAAATTTTCGACACTACTGTGTCGATATTAAGCGGATATTTCGACCTGTACATGTCGAATTTTTTATACGTGAAATGAGGTGCGAAAAACGAGAAAAACGATTACAAAGTACAATATTTATTACCTCTTTGTGTTCTTCGACCTTAGAATCCTCCATATTTATGTCTTGTGTATCCATAATGTCCTTCTTTTCAAGTTTTAGTAAAGATTTGAGGGTTTTATGTGATAAGGATTTTGGAGAATATGGAAGATTTTTTGTGGAAAAAAATGTGTAAAATGAGGGTGAAGAAGAAGATGTTGGTAAAAATTTTTTGTATTTTTTTTTGGTCTTGCAATAGCAATTAGGTTAATTTAAATTAATAATATCTAAATTATTATTGGGGTTATATTTGTAATTTCCAGTCTTGATCTTAGTAAATTTATTTATATTTTGGTCTTGCATGAAGTAAGGTCTTGCCCTTAGTAATTTTCGTCTTGCAAATATTCGTTGCCTTTTAATTAAATACTCTCAAAGCACTATATAAAAAGTTCAACATTTCATTTCATTCTTCAAACTCAAACCCTAAACATGGCAACCCTAGCAAAGCCAATGCTCATGCCCATATTAATATGTGCTTTAGCATTCTGTATAATCGCCGCCACTCAAGCCGCCGCCAGTAAGCCATACGTCTACTCGTCGCCGCCACCGCCAAAATACGTAGAACGCCCACATTATATCTACAAGTCTCCACCACCACCTCCGAAACACGTCAGCCACCCTAAATACTATACCTACAAGTCACCGCCACCCCCCAAACACGTCGAGCATCCTAAATACACCTACAAATCCCCACCACCGCCGCCAAAGAAATACTACTACACTTCGCCACCACCACCACCATCATATCGCTACAAGTCGCCACCGCCGCCATCAAAGAAGTATCACTACAGTTCGCCGCCACCACCACCAAAGAAATACAAATACAGCTCGCCACCGCCGCCACCGTACGTATACAAATCACCGCCTCCACCATCTCCATCTCCTCCTCCACCGTATTACTACAAATCTCCGCCACCTCCATCGCCATCGCCACCGCCACCTTACTACTACACTTCACCTCCTCCTCCCACAAAGTATTGAGGAATCGAAGTTCGTTCGCTATTCCATAATTTGTGTTCAAATATATTGTTTTTTATCGTTTAATTTGTTCAATCAATCAAGAATCGCGCCATGCGTTAATAGTAAGCAAGACGAACTCGCTACGGTTTTCGCATGCTTTCGTGTTTCTTTCTTGAGATATCTCTGTATCATTTTCTCGAGCATTAATTATTAATGAAAACTCATTTTTATTTTTGAAGTCGGAGTATTAATTTCATGCAGTCTACCTTTTTTTGCTAATATTTATACCAGGGTGAATGAAATAGTTATGAGGATAGATTACATCTACTTCTCTAGAGTTGGGTCAAATTACATCTAGACCCTTCAAATTTGGAAAATTACACATACATCCTTAAAGATTTGGTTTCATCCACTAAACCGAACCAGATGCACCAGGCCAATTGACAATTCCATCATCTTTCATTTAAAAGAAGTACAAGAACTATGATTTGAGGTTCAGAATATTCATTTCTCCTTGCACTAACAATTGAATTTCAAATCTCAATCGGATAGATGTTGTATTTTTCGACCAAAACGTACATAAAAAAAAAACAAAAAAAAACTTACTTTCGATTTAAAATTCAAAAAAATCGTTGACATTCATCATTTTTCTGTTAGTCAATGGCTCTAGATGGGGATAAAAGGTTGACTAGAACCAAACCTCAAGGGCAAAATATATAATTTTCCAAACCTGAGGGGTCTAGGTGTAATTTAACCTAACCTCAAGGAGGCAGGTGTAATATACCCTAGTTGGAAGAGTTTTTCCTTAAAACTAAAAATACCCATCAAAAGTTGATGACAAATAAGATTACAATTTACATTTGTAATGACACAAACATCAGTCTTTTAGAGACACTTGTATCATATATAATCCATCTTCTATCTTCAACAATCCTTGTTCAAAGTTTGCATATATATTATCCATGACCACTTATCCAAATATCGCCTCGTATTTGACAGTGCTATACTTTCGTTACTTCGTCTAAACCATAGCCCCCTCGTGTGAATAGCCTCGATATATATAGCGCTTTAACATAAGCAAAATGTAGGCTTACGTAATTATGTTGCTACAGCCAACTTTTTGTCAACTTGTGATGAACTCGTTTGTTTCGCCAAAAAAGCATCCTTGCCTGGAACAAACAATCATGAAATATTAATTAATTATTTAATTAATATGCTGTTAATAATGTTTTAAGTGAATTTTGTAAAAAGAAAAAAAAGAATCAATTAAAAAATTACCGTCGTCTTTGTCGGATTTTCTTCTGCTACGCCATAGAAGCCGAATGGGTGTGCCTGTGTAGCCTACGCTCGTTCTCAGTTGCTTCTCCATATATCTTCGGTATGTTTCGGAGAAAAGCTTCGCATCATTTACAAAGAACACAAATGTAGGCGGCCTAATAGCTGCCTGTAAATACACAAAATTCATTCATCAGATAAACCAACTGTAGGGATTTGTTTTTTCACGTGTTCTAACGCTTTCACGTGGTTCGATAGTAGGACATGCATTTAATATCTTTTTTTTTTTCTCGCATGAAGTACAGAATTACAAGACGAGTGTGAAATAGGGGAGTCGAATATTGGTGTCACGTGGTACTTCTGAACTCAGAATTAGCACTTTTGGAAAAATTCCAATTGTTTTCAGATGTGGAAATCTAATTCCAATTCCATTCCAGAAAAAATAAAAATAAAAATAAAAAATTGGAAAATTTTGAATCGGAATCAGTGAAATTCGGAAATTCCAAATTTTAGTCACCTATTATACAAAATATATAATGACATTAATATTATAAATGTACTTTTTGGAAAATATCGGGAAAATTTTAAAATATTTCCGTAAATTAAAATCAGATCGGAAATCAGAATCTAATATGTAGTCCTATTCCGTTAAGAAAAAAAAACATGAAAACTTTTAGGATTCAGAATGAAAAACATTGTCCCAAAATCGGAAATTTTCGGATCATAACCGGCGGAATTCAGAATTTCAATTACAATTTCCAACCCTACTTAGATTCAGGCATACATTCAATCAGAATGCAACTTAAACTTTGGCCTCGTTTGACAAAGTAGATGGGATTGATAAAAAGAAACAAAAGAAGCGTTTTACGGAAAATATTATCCCGAGACACAGCGTACTCACCTGAGTACAATAATAAAGACGCCCTCTCTTTCCGCCTCTCGTTTTCGCAGGCGACTTGAATGCAACAGCTTCTCGTATCACTTGATTCAATGTCGCTGTCGATAATCTCTTCGACCTCTCTTTTTCAACCAGAGTAGCCGCCACAGTTATCCTATCAAATCAAATAAAAAAAATTATATAGAAAATAAAGACAATAAAAAATGAAAAGACGGTATCGAAAAATACGGGGGGATTCAAATTCAATACCTCTCGACACTATTCCCTTCAATTGCAGTTGAGTACACAATGGGCGCCCAGCTAAGAATTCGGAGCTTCGCCCTCACATCTTCCTCGTAGTGTGTAGCAGTTTGCTGATTTTTATTCGGTATCGTGTCCCATTTGTTAACAACTATTAGGCAACCCTTTCCTTCTTCCTCAATTCGCTCGGCGATTTTAAAATCCTGTCATATTTAACCGAGTCAATAAAAAAAATTAAAAAACAAAATTAAAGAAAAAAGATAAATCAAATAACCTGCTCAGTGATGCAGGCCATAGCCTCGATAACAAGTGCCACAACATCGGAACGACGAATAGCACGGAATGCTCGATTGACGGAAAGACCCTCGGTGGTGTTACCTGAGGAAGCTACAGCCGCTCTCTTCCTGATGCCAGCTGTATCTATTAGACGAAATTTCTGCCAAAAAAAAAGAAGAAGATATTTTTCAAATGTGGAATTTAATTTTTTTTCTTAAAACGAAAGAAGTCATAAACGAACCAAACCTGTCCATCGGGCCCGGTGAATTCAGTATCTATGGCATCACGAGTGGTTCCGCTGACTGGACTAACAATAGTCCTATCTTCACCGACCAAAGCATTTAAAATACTGCTTTTACCGACATTTGGACGGCCCACGATTGCAATAGACGGGATATATTCTCCTGCCTTGTGGTTTTCTGTTTCCTGCAAAAGGTCGTCGAAATTAATAATCATTTTTTTTTTCTTTCTTACAGCTCGTTTTTTTAATTAATGATAGTGCAAGAAAATTCACCTCGATTTTTTCCAAGTGTGAACAGACGGAATCAAGAAGCTCCCCTGTTCCACTCCCCGATATAGCAGATATTGGAAGCGGTGAAAAACTAGACAACCAAACAAATTGGAGAGTACACAGTTAATACACACACACACACAGAAACTTATAGTAAAGAGATGTAATATAATACAGCTCACCCAAAAGCCCAGAACTCGGAAGCTTGCATGATTCCTTTACGAGGAGATTCACATTTGTTGACAGCAAGAACAACATATTTGTGCGAATAGTTCTTACGTAACCAATCCGCTATTTCAACATCCGCCGAAGTTAGACCTGCCTGTTATAATAATTTGTTATGATGAAACATAATTTGCATTCCACCACATTAATCTCGTGATTTCTAGTAGAATCTCAATCAAAGCAAAATCCTTCAAGTTCGGGAGTAAAATCTCTAAAATCTACGATTTTACATTGGGGATCATAATTTGCGAAACTCAATTATTTTCAACACTCGATGTTTTCTTCCATTCAAGTAACATGAGAAATTCTAGAAATTTGAGGAAGATTTAGCCCTTGCACATATAATGAATAGAGGCAGCAACCAAGAACAGAGTAATCGACAACCACAACAAAAAGAAAATGAGAAAAAAAAAAAAAGAATTTTTTTATTTATGCTGAGAAATGTTTATTTATGCCTGGGACATTATCTTAGGAGATGTTTTATATGTGTTTAGACATATAAAATTTGGAATTCTATTTAACAGCACCCTTTCGATTCTATTTGGAATTTTTTTTTTTTCGTTCATAAAAGAAAGGGTAAATTACGGCAAACCCTCTGAGGTAAGGTATAAATTACGAAAAAACCTCTCATGTTTGGGTGATTACAACCATCCCTTCAACTATGAATCTACTTACATGTCCACTCTTGTGGTGTCAAATTTAGTGGAATCTTCTTGATAATGTGGAATATTCTCCAGTTTGTACCCGTTTTACCTATTCGAGCTACACATTTTGAAACAAGATGATCATAAGATATATTTCAATGCCTTGTAAATATCAGATTGTGGTGTGCATCAGAAATTGCATTTTTGCACAAAACGAGTACAAACTAGAGAGCATTCCAAGATTATTTTGAATTTGACATCATAAGGATGGACGAGTAAGAAGACTCGTAGTTGAGATGGTGGTTGTAATTACCCAAACACGAGGATTATTTTCGTAATTTAACCTTACCTCAAGGGTGCCCGTAATTTACCCTAAAAAAATTACAGAGAGAAAAACCTCTTAACTTTCAAAATTGAAAAACCTTTTATTCACAAAATTAACGAGATAAACGGTCATAACTCCTCAAAGTACAAGAGAATCGACAATACCTGACCGTCAACGAGGAATATGATGGCAGAAGCTTCTTCGACAGCGACGGTAGCTTGTCTCTCGATCATGGAAGGCATCTTTGCAATAGCGGCCTCCCTCGAAGCAAGAGGAATACCCTCCATCCCGATGGTTGTAGATACAGCTAGTTCTTCCACTACATCTTCCTTCGACTTTGAAACCGTGAGCACGCCACCGGTATCCACTACCATAAACTCGTACTCCCCCCAAAATCCTCTGCCGTACAAACGGTCCCTCGTCACACCGGGTTCGTCCACCACAATCGCTTTGTTCCCCTGAAAATACGAAAAAAAAAATCAAGAAAATGAAGCCTTTCTAGTTAACAATAACCGAAAAAGGAGAGTTGGTAATTCATAATTACGTACCCCAACAAGACGATTGAACAGTGCGGATTTACCGACGTTCGGCCTCCCGACTATTGCAACTCTTGGAAGAAGATGATCGGGTATCTGCAGGAGAGAAAAACAAATTAATCGAAATGAAATCATTGCGTAGAAGTTACCTAATCAATTAAATTACACAGAGATAGTGACTGTATTTACGATTTTTTTTTTTCGGTTATCTTTCGTAATTTAGAATCAACTAAAATAAGAAGAGAAACAACTGACATTGCTAACAGTAGTTATGCGCGGCTGCTGCCTTCCCCGAGTTCTCTTTTGATTGGGAACTTCGTCTTCTGAAATCGTCAAGTAAAATCAATACATTGGTGTCAGGATTAAGATTAAACTAAAAACAATTAAAAAAAATTAAATCTTTTTCACCATTACAATTTACAGGCACAATGCAATTGATTAACAGTAATTAAAGAAAACCGAACCGATTTTGAGTTCACGCGCCAGGGAATCGGAGAATTCCTTGACGGCCTCCTTGGCCTCGCGCTCAAATTCTTGGACGTCAAAACTCTCCGCCGCCTCCTCCTCCTCGTCGTCGCCGCCGTCGGACGAAAATTCTTCTTCGTCGAGTCCACTGTCTTCAGCCATCTCCGCCGCGAGAAATTCATCTTTTACTGCTTCGGAGGAGAAATGGGCGGCGGACAAGGGAGCGAGAAATTGACTCCGAAGTTGAAGCTGGCGGTGGCGGTGGGTGGAGAGAGAGAAGGCGGCCGGAGAAGGAAAAGATTTCAAATCAGGAGAGAGTGACGAACAGTTCTTACAGAAATGAACCGAGGCGCATATATCCAACGACGACATTTTCACGTTGTGCGAGTGGTTTAACGGGAGGGAAGACGAGGCCCAGAGGTTTATCCTTTTCTTTCTTTCTTTCTTTCTTTTTTACGTTATTTATTTATGTATGTGTCTTAAAAAAATATATGTTTTTAGACTGAAATGATCTTATCTTATAACTAATAAGTCAGAGAAATGAATTAAAAAGTTATTATAACGTATTAATAAGGGTATAAGCTGGAAATTAAGTAATTAATACAGTATTATTAAAGTGATGGATAATATGAAACAAAATATTTTAAAAAATAAACAGTTATTATGGAACATATTGAGTATATATTTGCGATTTCAACACTTTTGACGAATCTCAAAACAAGACGTTAGACCACGGACTTTTACTCTAGCACTGAAATCGTTAGTTTATACTCCCTCCGTTCCTAAATAATTGTCACTTTTCATTTTTCACAAAGATTAAGAAACTCAATAAATATATCTTCATTTTAGAAAAATCATATAAAAATGACTAAAACAACCTTTAATATTTAATGATTTATAAGAAAATTAATGAATAGAGTTTCATTAATAAGGTTAAAACAGGAAAAATGCATTTAATGCAATATTGGAAATCTAAAGTGACAGATATTATGGAACAAAAATATTTTAAAAAAGAGACAGTTATTGTGGAACAGAGGGAGTGTGCATCTATTTTTATTACACCAAAGGGTAAATTACGGGCACTCCTGAGGTAAAGTCAAATTACGAAACCACCCCTCATATTTGGCTAATATTATAATCACCTCTTAACTTTGAATCTTCTTACACATCCACAATTGCGGTGTCAAATTTAGTGGAATCTTCTAGATTATGTGGAATATTCTCCAGTTTATATCATTTTACGACATTCAATATCCACATTTTGAAACAAGATGATCATAAGATGTGTCTCTTGGTTTGTAAATATCACATTGTGCTGCATCAGAAACTGCATTTTTGCACAAAACCAGTTCAAACTAGAGAACATTCCACAGAGTCCGAAAAATTATGTTGAATTTGACACCATAACAAAAGGCATTTTTTCGTAATTTGGCATTTTTTCGTAATTTGACCTTACCTCAGAGGATGGCCGTAATTTATCCTTGCAATAAAACTTAGACCTTTCCATCTTCTTCTAATTTTTCAGAAATTATTGTGCTACAAAATTCAAATGAAAAATAAAATTACAAAAATTGATCAAGTGTGTTGCCACAAATATAGAAGCCTAAATAATGCAAACCAGTGTGTATTCTTCAATCTTCACAAAGCTCACCTAATGCTGTTGACACCTATACTCTCTCTACACAGATCTAGAACACCTCTCAAAAAGTTTCCTAGAAGATTTAACTGCAGCCATTTTTATTGGACAACGGAGTTTGTTACTCTCTGAGGTGGCGTATCTTCGATAATGGCAGTTTCGCAATTATCTTTACTACGATCAGGTTCCTCATTTTTTATCTTGACTGGCTTCCCAATCTTCGATTTATCTTTCATACTCGCAATCTCAATAGCCTTAGCACAAACGGGGAAGCCTTGGTCATCCCACGACTCGAGTATCACACCAGAGCCAATGCAAATCGAGTCCTGGTAGAAGGCAGCAAACTGCCCAGCTGCCAGGCCTTGATCGTCTTCCGATAATTTAACCACTCCAATTTCGTCCCCGTTTCCATCTTCCTCTATGGCTAAATCACAGTTGTATAAACCGGGACCATGACGAACCTGAAAAAAACGTCAAGAAATTAAGCATCTTGCAAGATTCTTACGACAGGGAATATACAGTAGAATCTCGATAAATTAATAACCTCGCTTAAATAATAGATTCTTCCGGGTCCCGACTCGGTGAAAATATATTAAATTATTAGTCCGATAATTTAATATTTCGCTAAATTAACAGAATTTTACCAGCCCCGACTGTATTAATTTATAGAGGTTTAACTGTAGAAAGAAAACGTACCTTGCATTGGAGCTGGATGCTGCTCTGCCTCGGGGGAGAACCACTGAACCATCTTAACGATCCAACACGAAAAGCGCGCCTTCTTTTGTCAACCGAAAAGTAGTTTCTCGACACAAATACTACATTGTTTTGCACGTCTTTTTCCACAACGTACCTATATAATCACCAAGCGAAGGGTTGAGATATGCGAATGCGAATGAATGATGCAGGCACCATTAAATTAAGGGCATTGGATATTTAAATTTGTTTAGAACGAAAAAACTACCAAGGTCCACCAGGAAGACGCAATCCTTGACGTTGGCCGATTGTATAGAACCAAAAGCCTCGATGTTTCCCCAGAAAATCTCCCGACTCAGCTTCTAATATCACACCTTCTTCCTCTCCAATATGTCTTGCAACAAATTCACTGAACTTTATCTGTAACCCAAACAAATAAAGTTATGATTAGAAGTGAGTGTCACTGAGTATATCAAAACTTGGTGACTCGGAATGGTTAGGGTTAAAAATATTTATTGATTCATCAAACTTACCTCACAAATTAATGCAATTATATTTTATACTCGAGCATAGTTAAGCATATTTAGTTGTTCTAAAAAAATAAACAGTTCTCGCGTCCTGCTTATTTTCATATATTTAGATATTACAAAGGTGGTAAAAACGAAACAACCTTTCCGAGAAAGCATATCCCTTGTGAATCCTTTCTATCTTGGTTAGGTAATTCAAACATTTTGGCAAGTCCACGAACTTCTTCCTGAAAATGGCAACGAGAAATTAGTTAAGTGCTAACAACACATGGCCGCCATGCCAATATAACGTAAGGAAATATGTTGAGCCGGGTGCATCAACTCCATTTTGGTGAAATCATATTGACAACGAAAGTGTACAAGCACTACGAAAACCGGCCAGCAAAAAATAGAAGAGTGCATATTCACCTAACCTTCTGGATACATCCAAGAGGGAAGATAAGACCTTTAAGCTGTGACTGTGAAAGATGTGAGAGAAAGTACGTTTGATCCTTAACCTGAAAACAATAACCACAGATGTGAGTGCACGCACACAAACACCACTGAGAATGGCAACACTCTATTTTTCAAACTGTTGCAAAAGTAAGACAAATAAAAGGTTAGTGGCAGTGCTACTGCTCGCTTACCGTGTCTTTTGACAACTCTAGAGTAGAAGGCTCGTTTTTATCACTACTTTCGGGGTGAACAACCTTTGCATAGTGTCCAGAGGCAATGAAGTCAAATTTCATATCACCAATGGCATCCACAAAGGCACCTATAACCAACCAACAACAAGCCAGCTGATAAATTATGTGATAATGAATGAAGGAGAAACTACACAAAGGGATTCTAAAACAGACCGAATTTAATTCTTGTATTGCAGAGGACATCTGGATTTGGAGTGCGGCCATTTCGATACTCATTGATGATAAATGATACCTGAAACATAAAAAACCATTTATTTAATATTTATGCTAGTTATCTTATCTTATTTGTCAGCTTTTAGGAATTGGGGGTGCTTAAGAGTGTGAAGTAATATCGGTTATGTTTAAATTTTAGTTATCTGCTCTTTACCCACCACCGGCCTGCAGGCCCTGCACTAATGCTAAAAAGGCGTTGATTGGTTTGTATCACTCAATTTTCCATTAATGGCATAAAAATGATAGCAAGGAAAAAAAGAATGTAATATTGTTAATATAGACTCAAGCTAGGGACTATTTATAATTGAAGTACGGCTGATCTAGCAGAACTTAAAGAATCTGCATAACGAAGAAAAAAGAATAAAATATTCACCACATTGTTCCAGTACTCATCTGTCAAATGCACAACCTCCAGAGGTACATCAACCTGCAATACACCAACGGCTAAATTCAATAAGAGCATTCGACTGTAAATGATAAAAGATTGCCAAGGTCTAAACTGCATTTAATGAAATACACCTCAAATTAAAATAAATGCAAGTTCGACATGTGCTAGTGTGGCATTTGTGTACACAGATGCATCATACTCGTGAAGGATCGGCCACTAGAGTATGTATGTCTTGGCCAAAAAGTACTGCCGTCTAACTTCAGACAAATTAGTGTTTGTTTTGATTTTCCAAAAAAAAAAATTACAAAAACAACTTCTAAAGTTTCTTTCTCCTCCAGACATGATTTGTAGAGACTGCTACAGTTAAAAATGTCTTTACTAAAAAACAAACAAACACCACTTTATTTTCAAATTCTTCTAAAATACATTTTTTTCAAACAACTTTAAACATGATTCGACTGCTACAGCGTATTTTGTCTAATCTCAAATCATAAAACAAACATTATTTTTCATTCTCAAATTATTCTCTCAAAACATATTTCCCCAAAATAACACGAAAAATAACTCCCAAAACCATTCCAAACATTGCCTAAGGGTCTAAATGACTCTTTGACACAGTCATTTTGCATGTTATATATGTCACAAGTCAAAACCAGACAGACGAAATTGTTGAATGACCATCTCAACTAAACGCTTAAGCTGTTAGCCTGTTATAAGAAGTTGTTAGCCTGTTAGTGAAATGTATCATTTAATATTAATATCTCCAACAGAAATAAATTGGGGAGTGATTCACCGTTTCAATTGTTGTAATGCCACAATCGGAAAATTTAACCATTACCCTTCAACACGACGAAGGTAAAACCAATACGGAAATTCAAATCGAAATCACAAAATCACACATATGGAAAAAAACATAGAAGTAGAACATGCATAAACATATAACCTGACCACAAACAGCTTTCGCATATTTCAAATCTTCCTCCCATGGGCATTCAGTCCAGAAGTTCTCGAAATCTTCCTACAACACAATTAAGTACAGGTTACTGTTTGCATAAAAATAATTCAATAGCAATATCCAGTGTGCAGCATCAATTTTCAATAAGCTATCATAATTGGGGGAAAAAGGTAAGTACTTGGAACCAGATTTTGAGGTAGAAGGCGGTGCAGGAATGACCGGCAGCGTGGAGTAGGCGGAGGGCGACACTGCTATCTACGCCGCCGCTGAGAAGGACGGCCACTTTGAGAGGTCTCTTCTCCGGCAAGGAGCACGACAAGTACCGGAGGTCAATCGTTCGTGCGGAGGACGAATTTGATGATACAGACGGGGATTCTGATGCTACAGCTGCCGCAGTAGGGGAAGAGAGAGGAGAGATGGTGGAAGTGAGCGTTTGAAAATTGGCCGTAGAGAGAGAATAAAAGCGTCGGAAAGTGACGGCGGTGGAGGCGATTTTGCGGCGGAGGGGATTTGGTGGGAAGTAGAGCGAGATAGTGGACATGACTGTTGTCCTCAACGACATTGTCGTTTCATCCAAGCTTTTTGCTTCTGTGAAATGTTTGAGAATTGTTTACTTCTACTTTTTTTTTTTTTTTTTTTTTTTTTTAAATAACATTGACCCACCTGAACTTTTTAAGTTTTTTCGGATCATCTCTTGAACAATTTTTTTTTTTGCACGAGTTCACCGGTACTTAATTAATTGTGCCAATTTACTCCTTTTTGCCCGTTTCCAGGTCAAAATGACCGATTATGAACCCATGTGCACACATGTGAAATCCAAAGCTATTTTTGTCTTTTCCATTTAAAAATCTCTGATTCATTTAATTTTCTCTCCATTTTTCTCTTATCTCCACTATTTTTCTTCTACAATTAGAAAGAAATAAATTTCGTCATTCACAAAATATTTGCATTTTTGAGCATTTCAAATTACGTTGTCGGAAAAAAGAACACCTGTAAAAGTCGTTCCTTTTGAGTTTCATCTTCCTTAATTCCCCTCTTTCTTCTCTCTTCAATCCCAAATCCCAACCCACAATGCCGTTGTTTAACGTGGGAGCTTATCAGAACGAAGATGGGGATGCATCAATTAATTGAAATGGAATCAAGATTTTTTACAGAACCTACAGCAAATGACCAGTCAAAGTTCGCTCTCGTTGCATTTCATCCACACAAAAGCTGTCGAAAAACTCGTATAAGCATCGGTATTTTTTTAATAAATACGAGCAAAATATATATATGTATACATGTAAGTAATTACCGGGATATGCTTTGATGTAGTCTTTGGCGAAATTGCAGTGCATGTTCGGAATTTTGGCGACGTGAAAGAGTTTGTTGTTCTTGATAGCTTCTCTGAGTTTCTTCCACCTTTCGGCCATTAGATTGTGGCTGTATTCGAAGAAATTCTCGAGTTTATTGTCATCACTTTTGCAGCAGCTAAGGGAAATGATTTCAAGAATGGTGGCTGCTCTGTTTTGGGCCTCTTTCGACACTTCGATTGTGCTGACTTCGATGAACTTCACCATTTTTCTAGCGACTGCTTCATCCTTAACAATCGCCCATCTTCTTATAAAGAAAATAACACCATTTCTAGCTAATTGAAGAGGGAAAATAATGGAGATAAGAAAGAAATAGAGAGAAAATTAAAGGAATTAGGGATTTTTAAATGGAAAAGACAAAAATAGCCTTGGATTTTGCATGTGCAGCGCACATGGGTTCATAACAGGTCATTTTGACCTGGAAACGGGCAAAATAGGGTAAAGTGGCACCTTTAATTGAGTACAGGTGAACACGTGCAAAAAAAAAAATTGTTCAGGAGGTGATCCGCAAAAACTTAAAAAGTTCAGGTGGTTTAATGCTATTTACCCTTTTTTTAATGACAAAAGTGCACTTCCCCCTAAAAAATTTCTCATTTTTCTCTCCACTGAAAAAATTAGAAAATGAATGACTCCCTATGCAATATTGTTTTGGTTGCACTTGGCCACCAAAAGTCAATTACTAATGGGCATCGTGCACAGAACAAAAATACATTTAAGGTCATCGTGTACAAAAATAATATCTAAAGAAGCAACGTGAAGAAAATATTTTTTAAGGGGTAATGTGCAACAAAAACAATATTAAAAGGGCCAACGTGCAACAAAAACACTTGATTCCGGTAAATAATCCATTCAAATTTTGTCATCGGGGCAATACGCAATATGAATAACATTTTAACTGGGGCATTCGTTTTTTAAATTTGGAGGGGATAAAGTTCGAAAAAAAAAAAATTGTATAGGCGGTTACGTGCAATTTTCACTATTTTAAATTAAGATAAATTAGTTATAAGAAGAAAAAAAATATAATCCCTTTGTAATAAATAGTAAAGCTTTGTTTATTTATTACTATTAAGGCATGATTGGTTGGACAAATTAGTCATAATTAATTAAATAATATGATTTTGATATTTGGTATTTGGTATTCCAATAATCCAATGATTATGTTATTAGGATTTATCTTCCTGTCATCTTGTTTTTTGGAACGTCTCGATGAAGCAATTGGATTTTCAATTAAATTATTTAATCTTATCTTATTTTATCTTTTATTGGCGAACCAAACGAGGACATGATGTATAATAGTGAGTTAACCTTATTAAGTATGTAATCCAATTGATGAGATGGGCTTACAAGTTATGGAACCAAATTATGTGATATTTTGTGTATTCATATTTGTCTTGTATTTTCTGAATTGTATCACATTTCAAAACCTCATCACTCGAAGAGGTGAGGTTAAATTTGTCCAAAAAAAATATTACATCCTCATCAATGTAAATTGCTTGTTCTAATTGCGAATTAATAAGCCTTTTATCTGAGAGAACCCAATCTAATATCATGAAAAAAATACTTTAATATTATATACTACCAAATTTATCAAAATCTTCAACATCCTTTTACATTATAAAAGTTGCATGACACACGCATAGGCATACGGACACATACGAGAAATGGCCGTACTTCGTATTCATAATGTTTTGCTAGTAATTTTTGTGATGATTGGATTTACAGTAATGGAGATCGACATAGCTTTGGGCCAACATCCAAAATCCCCCGGCATTGTGTCGCGTTGTGTGGGCATAACCAATTTCATCATACATTGTTCATTTTACATATCCAAAATATATCCTTATTATATGTTCTATAAACCAAATGAAAGATGTTGTCGTTATGCCCGAAAGACGGACATACAACTCTTTTGCAAAAAATTCTTGACCGGCGGCAAAGATATTATATATTATTCGAATAAAGTGGTAGATCTTGCACGTTATTGTGACAATCGACTTCCAAGCGGTTTCAAATGTGGAAGTAAGTATCAACTTCTTAACTTTTGTGTTTCTTATTGAAAATACTTTTGCATAACTACAATAAATTTTATAGGGTAAATTACACACACCCCCCTGAAGTAAGCTTAAATAACTGTAAGGTCCCTGTGGTATCGATAATTATACTCAGCCCCCTGAAACGTAGTCAGAAACTCTAATGGGATAATGAATTGGATACGTTATTTCGATAGGGTTCTAACGGACTATTGGTTTCAGAAAGTGGTGAAGACAACAAAGAGCTATGGGGTGACATGGCTCCCCGAGCATTCCCGAACATTTCTTAGATCACCCATA